CCCCCCCCCCCCCCCCCACGTCATCTCCTCCCTCCTTTCCCACACTATCAGCACCTTTAACCAGTATTTCAAAGCTGAACTCTAGAGTTAGCCAAACCCTGAAACTGAAATTCCCTTACCCCCCCCCCCCCAAACCATGAACATAGAATACCCCCCCCCCCCCTCTTCACAAGCATTGTAACCGTGCCCATATCCGCCAAATTACAATATACAACCACAAAACCTCCACAAACATCTCCAATTGTTTTATAGAGCTCATAGGCTTCCTCTTCAGTGACAAATCGAAAGAGAAAAGAAGACTCACCCATAGCTAATACTTTCAACCCCTTCAACACTGCCCGAAGCTCCGTTCCCGGTCTGTGACTAGCCCCATTGAGCCCAACGTAGTTTCAAATTTACCAACCAAGTGGATCAGAAGAAACTACTTTTTGCCACAACGTGTGATCACGAGACAATCTTAAAGTGGGTTCGTGCCTATTCCCCTCCCTTCTACAAGCCCCTTCTAAAGTTAGCGCTGGCCACACTAAAGTCTTTTTGTACAGTTGGAGTTTATGTTTCCTTGCCTCTAAAGAGAAGTAGGAGTCTCTCTCTCTAGCCATCCCGATGAATTTGAGTTGTCAAGAAAAATTCAGTTGTAGGCGAGAAAAATCATCTGACTTTTGAGAACATGAGACGCTTTCAGAGTTGGTTGACCTTTTCTCATCAAAGTTAGGGTCGATCGAAGTCCACTGTTTTGTGTTTTGGGAGATGCTTTGCACCTATGGAGGCAGCATTAATTTTAACATCTATTTTGAGTTACCGTTAGGGCTTTAGACCATATGTGTCACTTCTTTTACAAACATTAAGGAATAGTCCTCATGGATACTATTCTATCAATGGGATACATTAAGGACCAAAATGATCCAAAACCTCATACATTAAGGGCCATTTTGGTCATTTTCTTTAATATGACGACCAACTACACAATCATCAGAAAAGAATAAGAAAGACAGCATAAAGATGACATCGAGATAAGAGTACAAGATAGCCAAGTTAAATCTGAATACTCACCCCATATCATCATATCCCATAACTAGCGCCTCCCCCTGGATTTAAGAAAACTCCTTGTGAATAGATTAATTAAAAAGTGAAGAAGATGCAAAGGGAACTGCATTTGAAATAGCAGAGAAGAGAACAAATCAAGGCTATAATGGAAATAAGATTACAAACATATTGAAAGCTCAAATTAACAATTTATTTTCTCACGAAGAAAAGAAAAGGAACAAGGAGACTGGCGACGTTCTTGATAAGGAAAAAGTTCTTTTTCCATTATCCGTAATAAGAACCACTGGTGAATCGAAAGCATTCACATCATGTCATTGGTTTATTTGAGAGATTGGAAAGAAAGTTGTATCCGTGCATCATAGCAACAACATAACATTTTGAGCATCAGAGTCAAACCAGAAACAGTTTTTTCCGGTCATCAGGGCCTACTTCTTGTAACTTTCCCATTTTGAGAAACCAGAGTCATAATGTGGTAGAGAACAAAGTTAAAAGTTAAAACCAACATTCTACAAATATACAGAAACGGCAGCACATGGCAAAAGGAGAAACAACTCGAGAGGAACTTCTTGTTACATATGATGTAACATTCAAAGTCAAAGAATCTCTCTAAGTCTGCTTAACTACAAGTGATAAATGATGAAAAGTGCATATTTTTGAGTCTATTTGCATATTAATTCTTGTGTGAGTCGCGAGAGATTGTGCGGTTTTTGAAATGAAATATGCTCATTATGTGTTTCTTATGTGTAGGAACGAGTTTGGATGATAAAAGATCAAATGATGACAATTTGACACAAAAAGGAAGAGATGGAAAGAATTGGGAACTTGTCCAATCTCGTGCATGGCATGAAAACAGACGCGAAAAAGGAGAAAACTGAAGGCACAAAACAGCGAAGGCGCGGATCGCTTTGGGAATTGGAAAAATTGCAAAAGCTGATTCCGCGTCCATGGGCGCGCGACACGTGAAGGCAGACGCGGATTCCAGCCCTCTTATCCGAGATTGGATTGTATTGGACGGCCCTCCACCCTACCCGGGTCATATAAATACATCCTAAAACGAAACTTTGGAGGAGGAGACACTACTATAGGGTTACACAACACCTTTGGAGGCAAGAATACACTAGGAGCAAGGAGGAAGATTCAACCACGAGTTTTCCCTTTCTTCTTCCTGTTTTCTATTGTTGGTTATGAATTTTAGTATTGTATTTTCACATACTACTATGAGTAGCTAATTTATTATTTAGGGTTTTGATGGAACCTTTTGGAGGATGAATTCTTGTTAAGTTTGAATATGATTTAGCCTTTGAATTTCTTTACTTGTTCAACTACGTGCTTTTTTTTTTTGATTGAATGGCCATCAATTGGTAGTGTCTATTTATTATGTATTGCTTGGGAAATGGTACATATTTAGGTAGTTGTTGAACAACGTCACTCCTAACGTATATGAGGAATCAATACAGCAGGTTTAAAGGTGAGATTAGGAATAATAAAGCATTGGCGTGGTCATAGTGAGCGGTAAGATAGTGCCAACGAGCGTAGTTCGGGAGAATATGTCTAGTAAATTGTTGTAGTTGCTCGAGAGAGAACTACGACACCTGAAGTGCTCACGGTCAGTAGAGAATAATTAGGCGAAATTATAGGAGACGTAGCGGGGAGGATTCCGACAATTGGGGAAATCATAATTCTAGACCTCCTTAATCCTGTCTCCAACCCTTAGTATTTTTAGTTGTTAATTTACTATTTTAATTTGTTAGTTAATTAGTTAGACATAAGAATCTTAAATTTTTATAACTTGGGAATTGTTAAAGCTTGTTTTCTTGGTGATAGTGAACAGTTGTAGCTAAACCTTAGTTCTCTGTGGGATTCGACTCCGGACTTTTAGATCGGATTATATTTGCAGCGACCGCTTATCCTTTTTAGGACTAGAGTTGGGCTTGATCAACAAGCATTGTGTTTAACCATGAAGCAGCAAATAGGTGAATGCCTTCATCTCTCAAGCACTTTCACCTTCAATAAAGATACTAGGGGAGATGTATAATTCGATAGGTAAAAATGAGGCTTCCAGAAAATGAAAAGATTTAGGTAAAGACCAAGAAGATCTAATGATAAATTACCACGAATGGAAACAAGTCAGCTTGTAGAGGAAGAAGCATTTGGTGGTCACCAGACTAACAATTAATTAGAAAGAATTCCGATAAAATGTATACTACAGAACTTGGATGGTGACATGCACATGAATATATTGTGAAACTCCAGTTATGCTTAGTAATAGCATGCTATTTTGTATGTCAAATGGGCAAAGAATAATGCCATATACCACATTGTACTGAAACAGGCACCTGCAGCATGTAATTCAAACCTCTAATGGGGTTGATCATTTCTTTACCAGTGCAATTTAAGGGAGGAGTGGTACCAGTAAAAGTAGGAACGCAATGACACGTACTGAATACATGAATGCTGCTGATGAATGAGAAAGCTGAATATCCAAAATTTGACACTCTTCTTACTATGGACACTAAAATGTCATCTACTTCCACCAATTGATACTTCTATAGAAGCTCTCATAAAAGGAAGGGCAAAGTTCTTCAAGAAAACACTGAAGGGGAAACATGCAATTACCCTATTTAATGTATCCATTATCCGATGTAAATCTTTCTATGCTTATACCAAATTTCCATTTCCAAGCAAAGCAATATGTGCAAATGTGAAAAAAGGAAATGGAAGAAGGAATAAAGGAAAAGAAGAAATAAGCATAAGATAATAAATAATCTGACCGAGTAAAGATATTACTAGTTTAGTTGGCGAGAACCGAGTGCTCGAGTCTTTAATTGCATAAAATCGATCAAGTAGTTTCTTTATATGGTCATGCATTGTTGCATCAGTTCCAATGCCAGCCTATTAGAAAAACCAATAAGGAAATAGATGAAAATCCCTGGGATCATTACCTAGGAGACCTATAAAACTGAAAGTTAGACACATGAGGAGACACTGTTTATCACGAAAATATGGTTAGAGCTTTTTGAACCAAAATAAGAAAAAAACTAGCATCACAGAACCCATACCTTGTCCATACAACCCAATAGATCAGCCTCACTTAATAGGGGAGGAGGTCTAGTAACTCCTGAATCAAGGGTCAAACTTGTTGGTATAAACTGCACTTCACAACAGCAAACAGGTATGTGTTAAAGCATCTTGCAGGAAGACAACAGAAGATAATTCACAAAATAAAATAAGTTAATTCTTCACATATCCTCTACTTTTTCTAGAATGCATGTTTATTATCTGATGCAAGTAGGGAAAATTTCTAATATGATCTCTCAACAAGGAAGGTTGTATTTGCAAATATGATCGAAATATAGAGCATTATGATGCTGGCAGAAATGGATTGTCACAATGAAGTCAAAGATAGAAACGGAAATGATTCTGGAGACGAACAATTGTTCTACCACAGAAGATCTAGAGATGAATGTCCAGAAATTTTTAAAAAAAAAAAAAGGAAAAGCTACACACCCATCTTATCAAGAACTATAGTAAATCAATGCATCCACCAGAAATTGATTCCACATGCAGCATTTGTCCTAGCTAATTGACCAGCATAACTCAGTTAATTGGTGAAAGAAACGGCCACGAGGCCTTTGGTTGCTTCAGCTGGTTGAATTATCAAGCATGCATACTGTGAGCTGTAACACTACGAGAATTCCAGGATGCACGATATATACGCAACAGAGTATGAAAGAGGGAAAAATATACTCCCTCCGTTTCAGTTTATGTGACACACTTTCCTTATTAGTCTATTCCAAAAAGAATGAGACATTTCTACATTTAAAAATAACTTTTTATACTTTCTCTTTTACCTATTTAACCCTTAATGAGAAATTTTTATAGCCACACAAATTATTTGACCCACAAAGTTTTTACCCTATAACCTTTTAAGACCACAAGTTTCAAAAGTCTTCTTTTTTTTCTTAAACCCTGTGTCGAGTCAAGCTACATCCGGAGGGAGTAATTTTTTGGAAATATGAGATCAATTCATTCTAGCATTCAAGCTCTGTACAAATGTTCCCTTACAAGAAAGAGGTATACGGCAAATTAAAGATAAAATTCAGCAAGCTGCAATACCAATAATGGATAGTCAGTACCTAGATTAAATATTTAAGGGGTCATTCCCACAGCTTCACAGTAGCAATTGTTGATTGACTTAATTATTAGGAAAGATTTGATTCTAATTGAGAAAGATTTTGATTGATTGTAATTTATATTCCTTCCTAAAATAGTCATAGGACCTAGTGTATAAATACATTTGCACAGAGATGTAAGAAACATACAGAAATACAAGAAACTTTTTCTTCCTCCCAAAAGCTACATGGTATCAAAGCCATTGTTGCCTTTTTTAGGTGAGTTTATCTCCCTCGCAGCACTAGGGTTTCGTTTTTATCAAAGAGGGCGAGTTTTCTTACTCTTGGTGACTGTCCGCAACACAAACTCCTTGTGGTCAGTTTTTTTGGAATTTTCTTTTCTGTTGGGGTCGCTGGAACATTCCGAGCCTATCCCTACTAGTTTTTATTCTTCCGTTCACCGGAGTTAAGGTTCCGTCAAGACAGATTTGGTTTCTGGCATGGCAGAATATTTTTTGAACAATTTTCTTTTTTCCTGATTGGGCAAAAAAATATGGAGACATTCTAGGGGATGGTTTCCGGAGAAATCTTGTCCTCGGATGAAATTCAGCTACTGCGTCGCCAGCTAGCCAAACTTGACTATGCTAATGTTGCCACATCCAATCATGTGCAATCAGGTACTACCTTTGCTACTCACTTTAATTCTTGGATTGTTGATTCTGCTACAAATAGACACCTTCTAAAGGCATTCAAAACTGTTCTCCGTGTCTCAAAGGAGATAATGTTAAAATAGCCAATGGTTCTTTTATCTGTCGTTTGTACTCCTAATATTAAACCATCATTCATGCTCCATGTCCCTGAGTTCCTGGTCAATCTTTAATCTATTAGTGCCATCACCAAAGCTTTAAACTGTAAAATCGAGTTATTTCCCGATCATTGTATTTTTCAGGATCTTCAAATAGAGAAAAGTGGTAAATTGTGTGATAACTTGTATATATTAGATGGAATTCAAAACTCTGGTCAAGCCTTTTTTGGGGAAAGTAAGGATGTCACTCAAGAAATAATACAGTGGCATAGACGGTTAGGACACCCATCATTCTTTATTTTGATGAAGTTATATCCCGAGGCTGCATAGTTTTCAAGAGGCTGCATTGAAAACCTTGAAAAGTAAATCAAAAAAAAGTAACTAGATGACAGTAGCTGGGGGCGCTCTCTTTGTTTGGATTAGCTTTCACAGTTTTGGTCTATGTTGCTCAGATCCTTAAAAATGTTTCCAAATATGTCAAATCATCAAAAAGTTATTCGTTTTCGGAGGATCTAACATGGGTTTGCCGACATTTTTAGAAGATCCGAACAACATAGGATTTGGTGGTTTCCTAAATCGTGCCTTCATAATAGCCCACTTTCATTGTTAGTGATATCCTTAGAGAAAAAGGAAGAGGTAAGATAAGGGATCTAGAGGGGAATAGGATGTAAGAAGTTGTTTAAGAAAATTTTGTAACATCTAGCAACCAACCACTGCCTGAAGTAATAAAGGGAAGAAGAGTGCCAAAGGACTCATGCATCTTAAGAGGAACCTGAATTCTCGAGTCTGAATATGAAAAAGCATATCAAGATTTCATGTGAAATCAGTTGTCAGCCCCACAACCACAGGCTCATTCTCTAATTTTTAGTTCATAAACTTGAAGTTTCCTAAATATACTTAGAAATGGGTTGAAATAATAAAGCTTATCATCATAGCGCAGGTGATAATCAAAATACTGCAAAGAAAATCACCAAAAAGTGCATGCTTAACCTCACCATTGCATAATTGCAATTTCAGTAACAAAATAATTACTTGGTGATTAGATAGAAACAAAGAGTATGAACGAACCTGTTGACCAAAAGTGTACGGGGGGATCACTGAACCTCCCCATGATTCAAATCGGTACACGTCAAGGTAGTTTTTCTGTGAACATAGGAAAAATGACAATTCATTACAAATAGCCAAATTACGATCGTAGTTGCACAAGTCCTCTACATGTTTCTCACTTTCTTTTTTGAGTGAAGAAATTACATGCTTGAGTTAGGGTGCGAAAAGAATTTTATAAAGAAGAAAAGGTAAATAACATCCTCCAGGTATTGGTATCTAAGTAGATGTTTCAAGTCTATCCTCATAGTAAAAATTGGTCCAGTTTAAGAAAACTGAAGAAATTATGAAAAGAAAAAGGCTAAAGAAGAGAATGAATGGAAAGCATTCAAAAATCAAATACAAACAATATTAGCAGTTGGAGGTTTCTTCTTCCTCCATTATCCATAAATCAAACATGTATCCTGAAACAAAATCATTTTCCTCAAGATCCAATTAAATAGAAATAGAGAACGAAATAACTAGAAAGGATACCGGAATCCCCCTCTTCTAGAAGGGTCATTTTTTTTATAAGGTAAATTATATTAATTAAAAGGGAGAAAACTCCTGTATACAAGAAGTATACCAAAAAGTAGAAAATTTACATCAGAACATGATTCTCTACAAATGGCGCCCAATCTTCTATACAAGTAGGGGCTATATGAGTGCACCAAAAAGCGATCAAAGATAAAATACTATTCTTAAGATGTGAAAAAAGGAGACTCAATCCCCTCAAAAGCTCTCCTATTTCTCTCCCCCCAAACTATCCACATGAGAGCTAACGGTGCGAACTTCCATGCCTTTTGCTTTCTTCTTCTACGGAAGGATCATCTTACAAATCTATTAATTTTACCTGTATTCAGACCAAAAGCTGACATAGATGTTATGGGTAAAAATATTTTTTACTGAATTTTATTCATATCTTAGATATATAAATTGACTCATCTCCATAAAGGAGGCAAATGAAACCAAGTTTTCATGTTCGGTTTTGAATCAGAGACGTTAACACTAATAGATAAATATGAGCAAAGCTAACCTCAGAGGTTGAAGCAACACATTAAATGTCCTTTTGATCAACTATCATTAAAAGGACCCTAAGCTACAGCACCAAAACAGCCTCTCCAGCCTACTGCCAGGAGCATTAAATAGGGATCTCACAGTTTGGAACCTGATAATTGAAATAGTGAGGAAAACACCAGTAGGGTGGCAAAAAAGGGCAAACGTCCATAGGGGAAAGAAAGCTTTCATCAAGAGCAAACTGTCAATATACCGACTTACTAAACCGTCAAGTGTAACTGAAAAATTGTAGACTTCAAATAAACATCTCATAGGGCCCATATAATGGGATAAAAAGTTTAATACACATCTTATCCCCCCAAACTTGCACGGAAATCCTTTTTACACAGCTTTTTCGTTGTAGGCATCCTTTTACTCATTTTATTTATCCATTCTTATAGAAAAACCCCAACTAAAAGCCCAATGGCTCTCAAAAAGGAAGACCTAATTCCAAAACAACCCAAGGTTGTGGCCTAGTGGTCAATGAAATAGGTTGAGAACCTTGAGGTTTCGGGTTCAAATTCCAGTAGAGGCAAAAACACTAGGTGATTTCTTCCCATCTGTCCAAGCTTTAGTAGATAGAATTACCTAGTACTTGTGCTAGTAAGTAGCCGAGGTGTGCGTAAGCTGGCCCGGACACCATGGTTATAAAAAAATCAAAATTGATCCACAAATGACTTGTATCCCAAAAAGACTAGCTTTATCTGAAGAAGCATAAAGCACTAAAAGAATATACTTGTTTAGGTTTTAAATCTTTTTTTGACAAGTGTTTTTAAGTTTTAAATCTTATCTTGAGACTTTAATCACTTTAAACAAAATTAGAACTAAGAAAGCAATTTAGAAGCAGTATCGTACTATAAGTTCACTTTATTCTGCTCGTGGCAGCACACGGTTAACCTCATCAAAGAACAAAAATGGCACGCTGTCAGAGCATGCGCCAGCAGTCGGACAGAATGCATACAGAAGCTATTATTGCAATAGGAAACTTACTGCAAGTATCACTCTCCCACATGTAAAAAAGGATTCACCAGCAATATCAATCTCAACTGTAGTTTCAGCCCCAACAGCAGGTTTAGAAACACAGGCCAAGAAATGGCGAACAACCAACTCATACACTCTCTGCACAAGAACAAATGTCAGTAGTAGAAAAGGAGCAGGCCTCATGGGGAAGTCATTTCCCCTTGAGTTGGATGAATAGTGTCAACATAGGCCTCAAGGGGAAGTCTTATCTAAATTGACACCAACTAAGAATTAGTGTCAGGTCCAGTACTAACATGGTGGTCTTGGCTCCACCTAGATTCTCCAGCAGAAAATTTAGTTGGATGAATGGGTGGATGGGCTTTGTCATCATGCCCACCTCCACTAGGGTTTCTCCATAGTCCTGATTGAGGGTCTAGTAGGCGCTGCGCATATGAACCCCATACAGGATGACCATCTTGTTCTTGCACCATTGTCTGTGTATATAAAAAGAATCAACTGTGTAATTTCATTAATGATACCTAAAATGACTGTATTCTAACAATCAAGCAACTCAGTCAAAACAGATCACAGAACCTTAGTAGCCATTCTGGTTGCCTGAATATTACAATTAAGCAGCATGGGCATTCTGGTCAGCTGACACAGCTGAATTCCACGCTTTAATTGTTACAAAATGCTCAACTGTTACCAGCGATTTAATTTTAAATCATATAACAACAACTTCCTACCTTTTCCTGAATTTCCTGAGCTATCCTCTGCTATGTCATGGGTAGGGGCAATAAGGTCATTATGGCTTGGCTAAGTTGTAACTCCCTCTTTTCCACTTTGTTTGATACTATTTCTAATTAGTCTGTTTCAAAAAAGAAGGGTACATTTTTATATCTCCGTAATGAGAAGCTTTTATAGTCACACAAATGATATGACATGTTTACGACCACAAGTTTCAAAAGTCTTATAGCCACACAAATGATATGGCATGTGTAAGACCACAAGTTTTAAATGTCTTCCTTTCTTTCTTAAATTTCGTGCTAAGTCAAATTATGCCAAACAAATTGAAACAGAGGGAGCAATTGTTTTGAGAACTTCTCCTTATATGTTACAAGTTATGTACAAGTTATTAAGCTTAGAGGTTTAAGAGCCCAAGTACCTTAATACTTTTTTTTTTATGAAGTAAGGTATTTCATTAGAAAGGCATCAAGTAGATGCAATAGTTACAAAATCAGAAGACAAAAATACAGAAAAATAAGAGTTTGTAAGCCCCTTTAGGATGTGCTAAACTATAACTAAGGAGCCAACAAAGTCCAAAAGGTGATCAGTGCTAATTACAGGGGTTAACTTCACCCAGCTAAAAAGGGTGAGCAAACAATTAGCTTTAAGAGTGTGATTTGGAGTTGAGATTCCACCAAAGCATCTTTGGTTCCTTTCATTCCACAAACTCCAAAAAATAACTGCAGGAATCATTAACCAGATCTCCTTGATGGCCTTATCAACTTCCCAAAGACTCCAGCTTGTGTATGCCTCCCTAATATACGACGGCATGACCCAGTTCAAACCGAAAAGACAAAAAAACATATTCCACAGATCAGTGGCAACTGGGCAATGCAAGAGCATGTGACTGACATTCTCTGAGCTTTCCTTACACATGTAGCATCTGTTGACCAGTTGAAAGCCTCTTCTATTGAGATTATCCTGTGTTAAGCAGGCTTCATATAGAGCAATCCAGCTGAAACAAATAACCTTGGTGGGTAGTTTGGTCTTCCATATTAGTCTCCATGGCCAAGGGTCTGAGTCAAATACCTGGTTCTGAGGACAGATGTGCTTATAGCATTCTTTCACGGTAAAGATGCCCTTGTTCCCCCACTTCATAGTGTCAGGTAGATTCTCATCGATGGTGAAGACCTCCACTCTGGCTAACATGTCCATCAAGCTGTCCATTTCCCAATCTTGTATAGATCTTCTGAGGTGCACATCCCAAATATTGCCAGTTCTGTTCTAGGCAATGGAGGAATCCTTATCAAGGGCAATCTGGAAAATGGTGGGGTATTCAAACATGAGTGGGGTGTTGCTCATCCATTTGTCTTTCCAAAATTAGATATGTGCTCCATTCTCTGCTTTGTAGTGAACATTCTGGACAAATTCCTGTCCAAGTTTGCTGATGTACTTCCATGGCCCAACCCCATAAGGTGCAATGGCAATTTTAGTGCTCCAATTATCTCTCTTCCCATGCTTGGCATTGATTACCTCCTTCCAGAGGCTTGAATCGCTTGTGTCGTATCTCCATAGCCATTTCATTAGCAAGCTTTTGTTGTGGATGGTTAAGTCTCTGATACCTAGACCTCCTTTGAATTTTGGTTGCATGACCTTGTTCCACTTTATCAAGTGGAACTTATGAGAGCTGCTGTCCCCTCCCATAAGAAATTCCTCCTGATCTTGTCTAGTTGATTTAGCACCTTTTTGGGAATGGGGAACAAAGACATATGATATGTAGGGATACTATCGAGCACACTATTTATGAGAGTTAACCTACCACCCATTGATAGGTATTGCATCTGCCATGATGCTAATCTCTTCTCAAATTTCTCAATGACTCCATTCCATACCTCGCAACTCTTGAATTTAGCCCCCAATAGGAGACCTAGGTAGGTCGTAGGAAGTGCTCCAATAGTGCAGCCCATGATACTAGACAACTCCTCTAAGTTTGGCACATTGTTTACCGGATAGATGATGCTTTTCAACTTGTTGACATGTAGCCCTGATAAAGCCTCAAATAGCAGAAGAGTCAGATTCAAGTATAACATTTGAGATCTTTCTGCCTCACAGAAGATCAAAGTATCATCGGCATACAGTAGATGTGATACTTTGACAGTGTTCTCAGCATTTGAACCAACGCTGAAACCCTGGATCCATTGCATTTGTCTGGCCTTCTCCAACATTTTGCTGAGTCCCTCCATGGCTAGGATGAAAAGGAAAGGTGAGAGTGGATCTCCCTGCCTTATCCCTTTCTGCGGAGAGAAAAAACCCACAGGTCCTCTGTTAACAATAATTGAGTATTTCACTGTTGAAATACTAAATCTGACCCACTTGATCCACTTTTCCCCAAATCCCATCTTCCTTAAAATAGAGATAAGGTAAGACCAATTAAGTTGATCAAAGGCCTTCTCGATATTTGCTCTTCCTTTTCTTTCCTGAGCCGAGGGTCGAATGGAAACAGCCTCTCTGCCCTTTCGGGTAGGGGTAAGGCCTGTGTACGTATTACCCTCCCCAGACCCCACTTTGTGGGACTATACTGGGTAGTTGTTGTTGTTGTTGTTGTAAAGGCCTTCTCGATATTAGCTTGCACATAACCCCAGGTTCACTGCTTTTAATCCTCCAGTCTAGTACCTCATTGGCAATGGGAGCTGCATCAGTTATTTGTCTACGTTTAATGAAGGCATTCTGATGGTTGGAGACTAGCTTCCTGATTACCTTCTTCAGCCTTTCTGCTAGTAACTTCGCTGTAATCTTGTAAACACTTCCAATGAGACTAATTGGCCTATAGTCTCTGAGTTCAATTGCTCCTTTTAATGCTGTATTCTGGGCCGGGCCCGGGCCTAAATGGGCCAAATGGGCCCGGGCTCAAGCGGGCTGGGCTCTGGCGGTCCCGGGCTTCACGGTCCCGGGCTTCATGGGCTCAACGGGTGGAACCAGCCCATGACGGGCCTAAGCCCACATGGTCTTGGGCTAAATGGGCCGGGCTCACGGGCCCATACGGGCTTAACGGGCTTTTTTTATTTCCGGGCTATTTTTTTTTTAATTTTTTTTGTTTAAGGCAATTTCTTGTAAACCATATATGTATATACTAATATAAATTGCTTTCTTATACATGGCTATATAAATATATGTAGTATATATAATATAGAAACCTAATTATTAAAGTGCTTGAAGAAAAAGTAAAATAACAAAACAATAGTAAAACTAAATTATCATGCATAATAAATTAATAACAAAGTAAAACATTAAGCATAAATACGTCTAATAATTTTAAAATAACACAAATTGTCGAAAAATCTTAAATACGAATTTCCGAATAAATACGCTCAAGACAATACTTTATATGCCTCCTTAAAATGCCTGTGGTACACCCTGAACGAAAATTTAAGACTCTACCACAGTTCTTGCACTTTAATATTTGACCTTCTTCATTTTCTTCAAGCACTTCAAAGTGTTGCGAAACAAATAAGCGCACTCTTTCCGAACGAGGCATGATTTAACTTGAAATTTGAGATTGAGACTTGAAAATTGGAGATTGAGAGAATGAGAGAAATTTAGATTGAGAAATGAGTATTGAGTATTGAAATGAAGAAGAGGGAGGGGGGTATTTATAGTTTTAGAGAATGTTAGTTTTGTAAATTGAAAAAGAAAAAAAAAGGCTATTTGTGCAATATGACCGTTGGCAATGGTCATTGGGGGTGGGGCCCTCCTTTTGAAAAATCTTGTAATGTTTTGTAGTATATATAGTATGTTAGTATATATATCTATATATATATATATGGTATATAGTATACTATACTATATATAGAATGTTATGTATATATATATATATATATATAGTATTAAAAATCTGACCGTTGAAATTTTTTTTTTTAAAATTAGCCGTTGGAGCTCGTTAGGCCCGTTGGGCCCGGTTGAACCGGCCCAGGCCCACCTGCCGGTCCCGGGCTTAGCGGTCCCGGGCTCGTGGGCTCCTTGAAGTAGACCGGCCCGCCACGGGCCTTGCGCACCATTTGGGACCGGCCCACTGAGACCGGCCCACCAGGCCCGTTTGGCCCATTTGGACCGCGGTCCCGGTCCGGTCCCGGGCTGGGCCCGGCCCACAGTGCAGCATTAGCTCCTTTCTTTTTGGGGATCAAAGCGATGAAAGATGCATTACATGATCTCACCATGTAACACTGCTGGTGAAAGTGGTTGAGCGCCCCCATCACCTCTGGCTTGATAAAGTCCCATGTCTTTTGAAAGAAGGCCATAGTAAATCCATCTGGACCAGGTGCTTTATCTGGAGCGCATGACTGGATAACGGCATGCACTTCTTCTTCCTCAAAAGCTTTTTCTAACATCTCCCTGTTTTCACTTGATAATCTGGCAACATCATCAAAATTAGCACTGGGCCTCCAGGTTTCACTCTCAGTGTACAGCATCTGGTAATAGTTCAAAATCTCTTCTTTGATCACATCCTTATCATCTGTTATTTCATTATCCACTTTGAGCTTGTCAATATTGTTGTTCCTCCTGTGTGAGTTTGCAATTGTTTGGAAGTATCTTGTGTTCCTGTCTCCTTCTTTGAGCCACAAGCATCTTGATTTTTGCCTCCATGAGATTTCTTCAGCTTTAGCCAATTCCATTAGCTCCACTTTCAGGTTCACTACCATTTGCTTCTCAGCTTGTGTTAGAGCTCTGTTTTCTGCTGTCTGATCTAAAATTGAGAGCTCCTCCAAGGCCTTGGTCCTTTTTGCTTCCACTTTGCCATAGACATCTCTGTTCCAGTTGCTTATGTCCTTTTTTAAATTTCTCAATTTTTGTACTAGCATAAAATCTGGGCTGCCACTGATGATGTAACTTTGCCACCACTCCTTCACCATGTCAATGAAACCTTCTTGTTGCAGCCACATGTTTTCGAACTTGAAATAAGAAGGTGTTGTGTCCCATTCCCTACTCTCCAGCAGAAGAGGTTTATGATCAGAGAGAGCTCTTGGGAGGGCCATCGTCTCATAGTTTATCAACAACAACAACAATGACGCAGTGAATCCCACTAGTGGGATCTGGGAAGGGTAGTGTGTACGCAGACCTTACCCCTACCTCGAGGGACATAGAGACTGTCCGAAAGACTCTCGGCTGTCTCATAGTTTATCAAATAGCTGTAAATTGTGGAGACAAGCATCATTAAGCAATTCAACAATCTGATGATCTTAAGTTACTAACAGAAAATTGGCTCACGTCTCGACCAGTTCTAGAAACTAATTGCTTGAATTGATTCTCACTGACTTGACTGACGGAAAATAAACGGAGAAAGGATAATCTTGAATTTTTATGATAGCCCCTGAACCAGTTGCAGTTTGAATTCTTGCATATGGGAAGATTTTCGAAAAGTTGCAAGAAATATCTGCTACTTTTCTTAGAAAAAGAGATGAATCCTTGTAGGAAATTCAAGGCGAGTTAATGTGTTCCTCGAGGCTAAATTTGCTCCTGAAGAGAGTCAGCGAATTTGTCTCGAGCATGTGCCTGCTTTTGTTTTTACTTATTTCTTCTTTATGATAGGAAGCACTTTTTTTAGTTACCTTCAACAAAATTAAAGTAGCATTCTTCTATTTCAAGTGAATAAGTATACTTACTCATAGGATCCAAGTAGCGCAGCCATGTTTATCCCTCCTCGAGACAACACGAATGGCAGTCTCTGTAAGATAAACAAGTCAATCACATCGCCAGAAGATTCCATTACAGAAAGAAAGCTTTGTGAAATTAATCGCACTAATATTGTTGAAATCAGAAAAAATATGAATGAAATGACTTGTAAACTTGAATAATACCAATTCTCCAGTAAAAAAAGATACAACACAGAAACAAGGGTAGAAGTATGGTTTTTTAGAATCCAATATGAGGCTAGCACTAAAGCGAGACCATAACCAACAAAGAAAATGCTGTTTCCTAAGCCTTTAGGTGCTTTTCTCAAGTCTCACATGCAAACTACACACACAATAAACTAATTGAAGTAAGCATCACATAAGGGGTTTCAGTCTTTGTCCAAAATTGCATCCAAGGGCGTGGCCTAGCGGTCAAAGTAGGCGAGAAATGTGAAATCATGGTTCAAATTCCAGGAGAGGCAAAAATCTCTAATAATTAGGTAGCTCCAACCTATACAAGGGGGTCGTTAGACCAACACTAAGCACCGGTTCTATCTCGGCAAAGCAACCAAACCCGGGCAAACACACTATGTGAGTTTTTTACTTTCTGCCATAAGATATGGTTGGCAGAGTTACCCAGTATCTATGCTGGTGAGAACTAGCAGGTGAGGGAGGCACAAACTGGCCGAACACCACAATTGTAACAAAAACAGGAAGCACATAGTAAAACCAAATAAATAAAACATAGAATAATGCGAAATCAGCCCAAAAGAGTAGTAACCAAAACAGAACTAAGAAAACATTTATATATGAAGGGGAAAACAGCTGTGTTTGCGCAAAACAAGAAGAAATTAGACATATAATTAAGTGGAGTAAATTTTATTTTATTTATTTTTTTGAGGAAGAGAAATAACCTGAGACACATTGAAGTGCGTTTGATGGAGCCGTTTAGGGTTGATTAATTCTTGACCGGACGACTTGATCATGGCGTTTAAGCTGTGGTAAATGCATGATTGCAAAAAATACACACTACTCAATGGAAGCACTGCAGCAAGCCCTCCATTCACAAATGGCTTCAGTGATGGCCACACACTGTTTCTGAAGCTACTCTCACAAACTTTCACCATTGACTTCTCTTTTTCGTACACCATATTCAACTCTGAATCTTCCATTTTCTTGAATCCACAAGATATAGGAAGAAAAGTGGTTTTCAGTTTTGTGGCCTACAAGAGTTTTCTTGAATTTCTCATTTCAATAAATTTGGGGTTTCAGTGTGTGTACTGTTGCAGTGTGCAGTGTGTACTGCTACTTTCTTTCCTTTGGTTTGAAAATCACCTTTAGGGTGCGAGAAAGGCAGAAACAGAATATCTGTTTTGGGAAGTTTGTCATTTTTCCGCTAGCCAAAAGGAAGCAGATTCTTACTCACAGGACAATTGCATGATGTAGCGGGTTAATTGGTGCCACCATACATGCATGTTCTTCACCAATCGAATGGACGAATGGAGCATTTTCCATACTTCTATAAAATAATGAGAAAAAGATGCTATGACCAAAATGCCTCTTTTCAAAATTTTATTGCCCGGTTGCCTTTACCTATGGCCCTCTTCTTCTTTTTTTGTTTGTTTTTTCTCATTTATCTTTTTTTGGTTTTTTGCACTTTCTTTTATTTTTTCCATCTCATTGTTATTTTTTTTTTTTTACTTTACTTTTCTCTCTCTTTTTCCTCCATGAGATGAACCTCGTGCATTGTATAGCTACTATGAATAAATGGATTCAACGGTAGGGTTAGGCATATATCGGGTATAACCGATAGTCCAAACCGATTAAATGCTATTGGGTTATCGATATCAGGTTATTGGTACATAGTTTGATAATGGTTTAATGTTATTTGACTATTGGATTATCGGTTCGGGTCTCAGTTTGCTCAATTTTATTAACAGCTTAACCGATAGCCCAATTAGATTTAACAAAATTATAATTTTACCCACTAAGTATATAAAGCCACCTTATGGCTTCATTCTCTCAATTCTCTCGGCAGTCACTTTTCATCTTCAGACCTTAATCCTTTAGAGTAATAGCCCATTTGGCCAAGCTGCAAAAATCAACTTACTTTGAAAAGTGCTTTTTTCTCAAAAGTACTTTGGTGAGAAGCAGTTTGTGTTTGGCTCAGCAGCAATTAGTGTTTGGCCAATCTTTTAAAAACTATTTCTAAGTGTATTTTTTTCAAAAGTGCTTTTGGAAAGAAGCTACTTTTTTCTGCTTCTCCAAAACTACTCCTGCTTCTCTCAAAAGCACTTTTTTTTTCTTTCAAAAACTTGACCAAACACTTCAACATTGAAAAAAAGCACTTTCTAGGATTGGAGAAGTTTGGCCAAACAGGCTATAAGTTTTAAACTTTTCTGAATTTCTCATTTTAATTCTTCAGGTAAGATTTTTAGTTTTAAACATTAAAGAGTTGATTGTTCAGATTTTTAGTTTTTCTTGTTATTTCTTTTGTTTTAATGATTCTTTAATATTTACAAGATTAGGATTTAATTATTTTCCTGTAAATTTGTCACGACTCCAATGTTCCTCTGAAGGATGTCGTGGTGGCACCTAGTCTATACGACTAGGTAAGCCTAATAGTTAATAATAACCCGACAGAAATAATTTACAAAATACTAAAGCAAGGCTGAATAACTGATATAAACTTTCGAAAACAGAATCAACAACAATATACTCCCTAAGACCTGTGGAACTGAGTCATAAGCTCTACAGAGTAAGCTAAAGTGTCTAGTACATCACTGTCTGAATGAAAAATACAACAGTAGTAAAAGTAAAAGAAGGTGACTCTGAGGCCTGCGGACGCCGAGCAGGCATACCTTGAAGTCTTCGTAAAGTAGCTAGCAGATAATCACTAACGACCGGCACGAGCATACGTACCTGGATCTGCACAAAAAATGTGTAGAACAGTAATATGAGTACACCACAATAGTAATCAATAAGTATCAAGCCTAACCTCCGTAGAGTAGTGACGAGGCCAGGTCAAGACACCTACTAGGATAAAAATAAATAGTAAGAAAATATAATAAGAATAAATAATGAAAAGTGGGGAAATAATTAATGCGAACAGTTAACAGCATGAACTAATACCGGAATTGCAAGCACGAAAATAACATAAAAAATCAGTTAAGGAGTACCACAATGGTCATATACAAACAACAACTGACAGAAACAAGGAAGAACAAAACAACAAGAGTCACACCGAGGTACCGCCTCGTGTACAGTAAGAATCACCATCGAGGTACCGCCTCGTGTATATATATTAAGAATCACAACTGAAGTACCGTCTTGTATTCACAATTCCCAATATAAATCACAATCCTTCCTTATGCCACCGCGTGAGCCTTACATTTGAAATAGGTTTTGAAAGTAGTTTTTTCCAAATAGCTACCATCACTTTAGCCCATCTTATGATACCGTGTGGCTTCACGTAGTTCCCCTACAAGCAACAAGCACATAAGTCCCACCTTATACCACCGCATGCACATTAAACCCAAGCCTTATATCGCCGTATGCGCGTCAATATCACATTACAATAACAACTCGCACCACAAGTGTCCATATATCACAACTTGCCAACAATTAACAATATCAATATTTTCACAACAATAGCTCACGAATCCAACACAACGTGTACAAGAATATTAATAATAACAATGAATGTAAAATTCTCAACAAGAAAGATATCTCAACAATTATCAACTTCGCTTCAAATAAATACGGCTTTCACAACTTCAACACCAATAACTCAACAATAAAAAAGATATTGTATAACTACGAACTAAATACAAATAACTCACGATGGAAGGAATAACATGACTTCAAATGAGAATAATAGCAACGAAAGAGATAACTAGTAACATGACTTCAAATAATGAAAATTAACAATGAAAGAGATAACACGTACAATGACTTCAAGAAATGATAACCAACAATGAAAGAGATGACATGTATCAAATAAAGGCAACAAGTTCAACTAAGGCATGAGAGCGATTTATCAAGTAGGATATGGAACACGTGTTAAACAAGTCAATTGAGGCATGTAAGGATAGACTAACACAAACAAGAATAGATTGACTATGAGAATTTAGAACATGATATGGCATTTCATCTAAAGGATGAAAATAGTCAAACTAGCCTAACCAGTCAAATACCACGTGCAACCCGTGTACCCACTCGTCACCTTGGGTACACAGCTTTCACATAGCACAAATGAATCAATCAATACCAATCCTAAGGGTAGTTCCCCCTTAACTAGGCCAATTCAATACTCGAAAATAGCTTTTCCCTTAAAATTCACCTCCACATGGCTCAAATCTAACCGAAATCGACTTAATATCATCAAATAATACTAGAAATATCAATTAAAATAGATAAAGCTAAGATCTTTACACCTTTTCCAAAAAGTTAACAAAAGTCAACCCGGGGCTCACCCGGTCAAAACCCGGGTCCAATAGTAGATTCCGACTATCCATGACCTCACGAGTTCATATATGTGATAAGTTTCAAACTTCGAGTCCAAATCGACTCTCAAAACTCAATTTCTTATTTTCCAAAAACTTGACAAAGTTTCACAAATTTTCACTTTGATTCACATGATTTTGATGTTAGAATCTAAGATATATTGATGGAATATAATTAGAAATAGACTAGAATCACTTACCCAAAATTTGTAGGTGAAAATACCCTCTCCAAATCGCCTCCGACTGAGTCTAGGATTCAAAAATGAGATAATGTCCCGACTTTCAGTCCTTATGTTCAGCTGCAATTATCGCAATTGCGATATGGGTTCGCAATTGCAAAGAAAATCTCACAATTGCGGCACTGACAGGCCTGGGAAGCTCTTCGCAAAAGAGACGAAGACCATCGCAAATGCGAACAAGCCCAGCCCAAGACCCCTTTACAAATGCGACCCAGGCATCACAATTGCGATACCTGTGGGTTCTCTGCAAAGGTCGCAAATGCGATCCTGGTGTTAGCAATTGCGACACCAGAGGCACCAGACATCACATTTTGCAAATTTCAGCCCAAAACACTCCGGAACATGTCCGAAACTCATCCGAGCCCTCAAGGCTCCAAACAAACCTCCACAGAAGTCTAAAAAGATCATACGAATTCACTCGCGCGATCAAAACACAAAAATAATATCTAAAACTACGAATCAAACACTAAAATGCATGAATTTCAAAGTAAAGTTTTCTAAAATTACAACTAAACATTCGAATCCTATCAAATCAACTCCAAATGATACCAAATTATGCAGACAAGTTCTAAATACCATAACTGACCTATTCTGAGTCCCAAAATCAAATTCCGAACTCAATATCTAAAAGTCAACCGATGGTCAAATTTTTCAACTTTAAATTGCCAAATTTCGGCAAATCAACATAAATCAACCTACGAACTTCCAAAATCAATTCTGGGCATACGCCCAAGTTTGAAATCATGATACTAATCTATCGGAGCCATCAAAACACAATTTCGGAGTCTTTTTCATAAAAGTCAACATTTGGTTAACATTTCTAATTTAAACTTCTAAGTAAAGAATCAAAGGGTGCAAATCTAATCCGGAACGAATTAATCGACCCCACAAGTCATAAAATCATAAACACATATGTGTGGAGCATAAAAAGGGGTAACGGGGAGCAATTACACAAAGCGACCGATCAGGTCGTTACATTCTTCCCTTCTTAAAATAAACGTTCGTCCTCGAACGTGCAAAAGGACATACCTGAAGTGATGAATAAATGAGGATAAAGACTCTGTATGTCGTGCTCGATCTCCCAAGTAGCCTCCTCGACTGGATGACTCCTCAACTGAACCTTCACTGAAGCAATGTTCTTAGATCTCAACTTTTGGACCTGTCTGTCCAAGATAGCCATTGGCTCCTCAATATAAGTCAAATCCTCGTCCAACCGGACTGTGCTGAAGTCTAAAACATGAGAAGGATCATCGAAATACTTCCGGAGCATAAAAACATGGAATACCGGATGAACCGCAGATAAACTAGGTGGCAATGCAAGCTTGTAATCCACCTTACCAGTTCTCTCAAGGATCTCAAAAGGTCCGGTATACCTAAGGCTCAACTTGCCCTTCTTCCCGAACCTTATCACACCATTCATGGGTGAAACCCGGAGCAAGAGTCGCTCTCCAACCATGTATGCAACAACGCGAACCTTCCGAGATGCATAACTCTTTTGTCTAGATTGGGTTGTACGAAGCCGATCCTGAATCATCTTGACCTTCTCCAAGGCATATCGAACTAAATCTGTGCCTAATAACTTAGCCTCTCCCGGATCTAACCAACCAACTGGAGAACGACATCATCTCTCATATAGGGCCTCATAAGGAGCCATCTGAATACTCGATTGGTAGCTATTATTGTAGGAAAACTCCACAAACGGCAAGAACTGATCCCAAGAACCCCCAAAA